AGGTCATTGACTGTAATGGAGACAGTAATGAAGTAACTAATGTCTGAATCGTCTTTCCCTGATTAGATAAACAAATTGACTCACTGTTAGATGAGCACCGTGCTGAATGCCATTGCATCCAAGCGAGGGATGTTTAGGCATGTTGCTCTCTTTACTGGGTATCGTATGTTAGTGAGCGACATGCGGAAGGAAATAAACCATCACAGGAGTGAAATCGGAAAAGGAGATTATTCGAATAAGTGGTGATACTAATTATACAGCTCAAGATCGAACTACATAATGGGAGCACTCCAACGATAATCACACCAGTATGGTGTCATCGATTTTTTTGATATTCTTTGTGTGCGACGAAACTAATTCATACTCATTCAGCCTCTTGAACGCCTATAATTACCTACAAAAAAGCATGACTATACTGAAACCCTGTGTTTTAGGTTTCGAGAAACTGCCGATTAATAAACCGATTTAAAATTCAAAATTTGGTTGCAACTTTCTGAAACCGGCTTCTTTTAGATGCCACATAATTTCGTCATTATTTTCTGCATTTAAGTGTAGACTATACTGAATTTGTGAGCGTAAAAGCTGGTATTGAAGCTTTTCGTTTAATCGGATATCGGTATATTTATTACGTTCAGAATCGAACAGCGCTGAACGCAAGGATACCGCACACTACCAAAAAAGCACCGGCTTACACTATCTCCACGCGCAGAACTCCTAGCACAACCGTGGAACCAAGTCGTGCAATCCGAGTTTCTGTTACACCAGACCGACAGTACGGTAGTTCTTCCAGAACGACTTTTATTGATGAAGAAACCAATTATTCGCCATTCGAGAACGATAACAGCGGGCACTCACAGGAAAACGAGGTTTACTTGTTTGCACTAGCCTGTCCAGCTCAAGCATTGTCATCATAAATTTCGGGTTTCGAAATTAAATGGATCGCCTTATAAAGTAAGTGCTTCTCCAGGCCCTCGAGCAACGCAGTGCAGTGGTCGTTACAACGGACGAGCCCACTGATATCATATCACTTGCTGCAGTGGATGTTGGCTTACCATATAAAATTTCTAACGAAATTCGGCGTGCTCCCATCAAACCACGTTAATTTTTTTTATTTCTTTTTTGACGGAACAGTATTACTAAAGCGCGCTTGGAGTGTTTTCTACTCTTATATACAACTGAAAATTTTTCCTCTGAAAAAAGAGGAAAAAAGAAATCCATGTTTCCCCTCTCCCACCTGAGATCCATGTCTTGATTAACTGTAGTTCACAGCGCCTTTCCCCCTCTCCTCCAGTACAGCTAGTTATTTTTTCAGTTACTGTGAGTACAGCTACATCACTTTTGGTTGTGGGCCTTTCTCCAGTAATGAAATACGATTTATTCATTTGTTTTAGCACAAAAATAAAATTAACAATATGTTTTGAGCTCGAAAGGAAATTGGTGCTGCGTACAGTGAGTTCAAAGGCTTCCCGAGTAGACTTGACGAAAAAATGGACAATGCGTTCAATTTTCCAACATTCGGCGACCAAACGACTGGTTACTTGCTTCTTTGTTTTTTTTTTTTTTATACTGCTTCTTTGTTTTTAACTGAAATTTTAAAACAAAATACTCCTTAGCATGTTCAGACTGGATTAATATACCAATAGAAACACAAATTTACAATTAAGCGCAAATGCTGCTTCAAAAATTACCGGCAGATCGGCTCGCAGACTTTTACTGACTGCTGCTGCTGCTGAGAATTTGAGACAGCTACACAAAAATGCTCGGTTTTTTTTGAAATTCCAAAGTAGTTACACATTTCATATCTGGCAGGTGTAGCTCATTGGGAAGTACTGCTCCTGTCGTCAGGAGGCAGACAGCTTAATTCCACCTGTGGAACAACCAACCCATCTACGATTCTTTTACCCGTTTTCTTGGTAAATTGGTGCTGGTATCCAGTAGAATAAATCAAGGAGCTTAGGTTCTGTTGATAAACTTCAGATGAACCATTAACTCAGTACAAGAGATTAACGTTCGAATAGAAAAAATCATTGAGAAAGTGTAATTAGGGATGTTGCAGAGGGAAACAGTGCGGATTATGCAGAGAGCGATCTGCCGACGAAGAAATTTGCCGACGGAAGTCACACTTACGTTTTACATGACGAAGAATCGCTGAAGACGCCACCTCGTACGTTTGAAATGTTTGTGCAACAGATACCTCTTAGTAGCTAAGAGTGTGCGGCGCGCTTTCCTGACTGAAGCTCACGTCACACTCACAAGATGCAAAATACATCGGCTGCAGCTTTTCTTAAATCTTTTTCTTGATAATAGCGTATTTTTTTTCTCGCAATACTACGTCCCGATTCAACTATCAATAATTACTGCCACTGAAATTAGGCTGACGAAAAGCGGCGAAATGAGTTTTAAACTTTGCTTTCTACTGTGTGGCACTGGCCCGTAATTACCATGCCGAAGGTTAGAATGACGCCTTTTAACAAATGCCATGACCCTACAGGTTGATATAGGAGCATCTGAATCCACGGGCTGTTGCATATGAGTAATAATGAAA